CTTGTCCCCATTTATCTCTCATGCTTACACTGCTCACTGACTTCCAGCTTCTTCTTGGAGCTTATTGGAACTCTATGTTGGAGTTTGTTTCATGATCCTTCTTCCTTTCTCCTCGGACTCAATTCCTTCTTCAGAACCAGAAATTTTATTAAATATATATATATATAGTTATTTTGAGTAGACCTTGGTAACCTTAGGAATTTATAAACTTTGATTATATTTAATCATCCTAATTCTAACTTGGATAGAAAAATAGATGTTTTAAAATAGCAGCCATGTGACTTGCCTCCATCTTGCCTGATGACCTCATCAGGATGAGAGAAACCATGTGACTGGCAGCTATCTTTACTAAGGTTAAAGGGTACATGGCATGTGACTTTATGACCATCTTGATTGAGATGACCACATGGCATAAAGTAACTAAAACTTCTTAGTCCCACTGAACTCTCTCTGCTTATCATTGTATCTCCCTTTTAGACTAAGAAGACAACAGCAGGTCTCCAAAAGATCTTGGATTAGGATGATTAAATAGAATCAAAGCTTATAAATTCCTAACGAGCAAGGTCTGGATGATGCTGATGGATTTTCTGACCACCCTGAGCCCCTACCTCTTAAGACAGCTCTACAGCCACCTGTACTTCCCTAGCCCCCGGCAGCCCCACAGAACCCAGGCAAGAGTGAAACAAGCTGCATCCCTCTCTCTTCCAGTCCTTTGACCATCGTTCCAGCCTTCCTGGGCCCCAAAAATGACACCCCAATTTCAGCAGGAAGTAGTTTTAAAAGAGGTTAATTTGCACCTTATCATCATAAAAGCCTGGAATTTTAAATCTTAAACCCTAGAAAAAAATCCCACTCACTTTCTCACCGCCCCCAACCCTCTCCCTCCCAGGGGCTGGGGCTTCCCTTCCCCCAGTCTGATTGCTGCAGAACTCAGCCATTTTGTCTACACTGCTCTTCTTGGTCTCATGGCCTGGGCCACCTGCCTTGGTCAGTGGCTCCTCTCTTCCTCTCCTCCCCCTCTCTCTTCTCATGGTCTCATTTAGTCTGCTGGCCATGTCCAGCCTGGACTCTTCCCTCTGCCTGCTTTTTCCCTTATATCAGCAACAAAAATCTTCTCCATACTTTAGGAGTAGCCACATCCTCCTCCTTTTATTTTATTTATTTTTTCATTCACTCTTTGTCCCCTCCCTGCTTTCTCCTTCTCTGCCCTGTGACTAGCTGGCCTATAAGTAGACACTGAGCTCTCTGGACCTCCCACTAGAGATGCCCCTGGGAAGTCTTCCTGAAATAAAGCATGCGCTCCTGTCCACTCCTTCCCTTGTCTTTCTTTCCATCCATCTTCCTCTTCCCAGTCTCTTTTTCCTTTTCTCACTGTTTTCTTCATACCTCAATTCTAATTCTCCCCCCCCCCTTACTCTCTCCTCCATATATTTGTGAGGCCGTGACAGGGAAGAGGGTGAGCGTGGCTTGTAGACAGAGAAGTCAGGAAGGTCTTGGCCCCTCCTGATGTGGAGGGGGCACCTTGGGGGACTGACTGACAAAGGAGGTTGGGTTGAAGTAGTGTATGGATAGCAGCCATTACTGTTCAGAAGTCACTGGGGTGACGCTGTTGGTTCATTACTCATTAGGTAGAGCTGCTATTTGGGTTTGTCTGACTCTTCAGTATGTTCTATTCCCTAGTGAAAACCCTGGGGGAGGGAATCAAGTCAATCACAGAAGAAAAGTGGATTTGCTTCATGCTTGTTAATGACCTTTGGGAATTTTAGGTCCATCCTCTACCTCCACTATCCCCTCAGTCTTCATGGATTATGCCAATTGTTCCTGGAGAGAGAATTACACACACACACACACACACACACACACACACACACACACACACCTTTATTCGTTACTTGTCTGGTTGCTGTAACAAATATCCGACAACAGTAAATTCAAGGAAAGGTTTACTTAGGCTCACACTTTGAAGATACAGAAGATCACGGTGGAGAAGCCATGGTAGCAGGATTGTGAGGGGGTCACTCACATTGTATTGAAATCAAGAAGCAGAGAGAGAGAGATGACTGCTGGTCCTTAGCTCAATGTATCTTTTTTATACAGCTCTAAACCCCAGCCTATGCAATGGTGCTGCCCACAGTTAATATGGATCCTACCATTTCATTTAACCCCATAAAAAAGCTCCCTCGAATGCTCAGAAGTTTGTGACAAGCCTGTCCAGTTGACAATATTAACTAAAACAATACCATAAAAATGTTTAGTGCAAATTCTGTGCTATTTCTTAAGTGTGTCCAAGCCAGGGCCCTTGGGCAAAGGGCTAATGGCTAAAATTTTAAAAACAAAATGAAACAAAAATCAATTGATGAGGAAGAGGAGGAACAACTGGGGTCATATACATTGCCTGTGGAGTGAAAAATGACAGGGACACTTTGTAAACAGTTTGGCAGCATCTTAGAAGTTAAACATTCACTTACCCCCTGGCTTCTTAAGAAGTTAAACATTCACTTACCCCATACTGAGGCAGGATAGAAAGATGGGAAAAATTATGGGGACACAGAAATGGAAAGGATCCCCTACCCTGGAGTCTGGTTGAAGTCTCTTGCCAGCTGAGAAGTAAGAACTCTTGCACATTGCTGCAAGGGCTGCTGGTAGAGATAATTAATATTCCTTTCATATGGAGAGACTTTATGTTAAAATAGCAACAAACCAGTCTTAAGTCCTAAATGTGTTAGACTTGGAGCAGGTCCTTATTTCTTCCCTACACATTTTCTGGGAATCTCAAACAAGACTATTAACTCTGTTTACAGTCAAGGTGCCCTACCTTCCCGCATCCCTCTGGTCTATATTTTTACCTGATCGGTTGTAATCCTGTCAGTACATGTGAGGGGGCACAATAAAGAAACTTTCAACATTACTGCTCCATTATTAGAGGCAGGGTTTTTTTTATTGTGAATAATCGAGAGAGAGAAACCATTTGGAAGAGTCCAGAACCAAGAGAAAAAGCAGACTGGACATGTCGAGGGTTAGGGAGGGGAGCAGGGGAGAATAATGGAAATAGCAAGAGACAGAGCACAGTGAAAGAGTGCTAGAGAACGTGTGTGTGTGTGGGGGGGGGGTAAATCATGCAGATTATAAATAGGACAAGTAGCTGTGGGGAGTTACTCCTTCTGGGGATAGAAAACCCAGCTCACAAGTTCTTGAAAAATTCTGGCTTTTATCTAACCACCAGAAATCCTTCTATAGTCCAGCTTGAGTTCATTTCTGGATATATGGACTTCCTGAGACATAACAAACAGGAACCATATCTGTGGCCTCTTTTAGATTTCTTAGCAATGTTACAAAGACAATAACTTCAAAAACCCTTAAGTATAAGTATTGTAAAAACAATGAATGGTGACTCTCCCTTGAGAAGCCTATGTCTACATCTGGGTATGTCATACATTCCATCAGATAGCCTCTCTTAACACTCCTAATTAAGCCTACGTTAAAAAAGTTTTTTATTAGATTCCTACTCTGCTAGTCCTGAATATTTTCTGCATTAAAGCTACAAATCCTGGGATGGCCTGAAAGTCCCTAAAAGATTAGGGGAACTTCTCAGGCTGTGGAAGGCAATGCAATGGAATGGAGCTGTTCTTCCTGTCCCCTTTGATAATATGGCCTAATAAGGCTGCTCTTAGGAGAAATGAAAGTTTATGTTGACTTGAACACCTACACAAAAATGTTGATAGTAATTTGATTTATGATCATTAATAACTGAAAACAACTCAAATGTCCTTCAGCATAAACAATCTCACACAGTGCAATACTACTTAGCAATATAAAGAAACATTGACATAGAGGAACTTCAAGACCACTACACTAAACATTAACAAAACCAGACTCGGAAATTATCAAACTATTTTCCAAAGAGGTTGTACTATTTTGCAAACCCCTCCCCCATTAGCAGTCTATAAGAATCTCAGTGGCTCTTCATTTTTTCTAACAGTTGACATGGTCAGTCTTTCTAAATCCTGATATTCTGACTTGTCCAAATATTCAAATCTTGTTGTTTTGTTTGTTTTGAGACAGGGTCTCACTATGTAGCCTTGGCTGGCCTCCAATTCACTATGTAGACCAGGCTGGTCTTGAACTCACAGAGATCAGCCTGCCTCTGCCTCCCAAGTGCTGGGACTAAAGGCACGCACCACCACACCTAGCTATATTGTCTTTATAATATGCATTTTATTACAGCTGGTTATATTGGTCATTCATTATTTTTTAAAGATTTATTTTATTATGTTTAAAATGTGTGTGTACATATGTGTATGTGTGCACACACTAACCAGGTGCCTGCAGAAGCCAGAGAAGCTTCCAGAGATGCCCTGGAGGTGCAGTTAAAGGCAACTGTGAGCTAACCAACAGGGGTGCTGGTACCCAAGTTCTGGTCCTCTACAAGAACACTATGCACTCGTAACCACTGAGCCATTTCTGCAACCCCCTGTCATTTATTTTTATTGTGATTATTGTTCATTCAGGAATGCCTGTGAAATATTTGTCCAAATTTTGTATTTCTTAATTTTAGATGCGACACTATTACATCTGCCATATTTCACTTATTAGAAGTGAGTCAGGAAGTCTTTGACATGAGTGTCCTACACTTACTCAAAGCGCAGGCGAATAGCTGGGAAAGCAAAGGACCCACATCCCGAGAAAGCGCGCCAAAGCCAGACACTTCTGCGGTGATATCACTTCCGCCCCTGCGCGCTTCCTCGGGCGCCCCCTGCTCCTGGGCTCTGTCCGTTTCCGGCCTTTCCCTGAAGCTCCGCTCGGCTGGAAGAAGCCGTTCTCTTCCGGGAAAATGGCGACTCCCGCTCGCGCGCCAGAGTCGCCG